CAGAAGTCAGAAGGGGCTAGAGTGCGAAATCTTTCAACAACCTATGCAACATCTATGCTTGGTGACTCTTGAGGCCCTCTTGGGAGTCCTCCTTGAAGCCCTTTTGCACCGTCTTGACTGCCTCTTGGGCCGCCTTGTGTGCCTCTGGATCTGTGTCAGGGCCATCTTGGGTCGACTTGCAGCCATGTTGGGCCATCTCGGGACCATCAGTGCCGTCTCGGTGCCCTCTTCGACCCTCAAGCTGCCCAAGAAGCCAGAATCCTTGTTTAGTCTTGAGATTGTTGTGCATTTGTGAGGCCCAGATATAAACCTCCAGGTGCAAGTTAAATCTGAGTAAATCGGGTCGCCGGTTTGGGCGGGGTCCCTGGAGCGGATTAAGCGTTGTTGCATTGCAAAAACGGTTTTTTTTGTGAAGTTGGGCTGATTTGTCGTATCGTGACTTGGCCCTTGCGCCACACAGCCGTCTTCCGCACTGCCGAGACGCTTCGCTGCAGCCCAGACGCGGATCGAGACTGTCGGTGGCGCATCACCGGCCGCTCCCCGGAAGTTTGGCGAAGTGGCGCGCGGAATCGAGAGTCGTGACGCGGCGCGCATGCCAGCTATATCCGTGCTGGGGGTTGCCTGGAGGCTTCTTCGGACCCAACCCGCTACTGCCTGGGTCGTGGACAGGCGGCAACTTTGGGGGAGGCTTGTTGCGGTCTCTGGGGAGGCCTCTCGGGGGCCTCATCCTGGAGGCATGTTTGGGGTCCATGTTTGGGCCGCTCTGGGGCCTCCTGGGGCTCCTGGGGGTTTTGCGCTGTGGGCCTCTGGGCGCCCCTAGAGGGTAAGGTGAGGCCCCTGGGGGTAGTCTTCACCACCCACCAAAACACCCCAACCCAACCCGAAGCCCTCAATTTGCCCTCCATTTCCAGTGGGGGGGGTCAGGGAACGTTGAAAAAACACATGGAACCCGTACCCCCCCCAACCCGAAATTCGGGTGAAATTCGGGTCTTCGGGTTGGGTTGGGGTGGTCTGGTAGGTAGTCAAGTCTTTAGAGAAGGGCCCCGAAGGCCCCTTCGCTTCCCCCGTCTTAGGCGCCTCCCGGGCCCCTCCTCCTGGGCGTCGGGGGCCCTCCGGGTGGGGGCGGACCTGCGCCCACTGCGGCGCACCCATCGCACCGATCGGCGGCTCCGCAGGGTGCTCCGTCCACGGCCCCAGTGGGCCCGCCCGCATGCCGCCGACCGCCCGCTGCGTCCCCCCCCCCTCTTCCCTCCCCCCCCCCCCCTCCCCCCATCTCCCACCTCCCCCCCTCCCCCCGCTCCCACCTCCCCTCCTCCTCCTCCCCCTTCTCCCACTCCCCCTCCTTCCTCCCTTTCCCCTTCTCCCTTCCCCCTTCTCTCCCCCTCCCTCCCCTCCCTCCACTTCCCCCTCCCCTTCCTCCCCCTTTTCTCCTTCTCCCACCTCACCCCCCTCCCTCCACTCCCCCTCCCCCGCCCCCCATCGGATCGTGCAGGGGCCCGGAGTTCATTCGACTGCATCCATCCCTTGGCGCGGAGGATATGAGGAACGGGCGACGCCCTGGGCTCCACGCAGCAGCATGTTTTTGTTATACCTTCTCTCTTATAACATATATACACACCTCAAAACATCATGTATGTATACATGTATGTATGTATGCACATACATATGTATATATATAGGTGTACACACACATATATATATATATATAAGTACGTATATACACATGAATATGCGAATTTGTGTGCACATGCATAAACTTGCAAACACACGCATCTACACACCAGTCGTGATGCCTCCTCCTCTGCCTCTCCTCTGCCAGCCCCTTCTCGTCCTTCATCATCCGTTTTCATCCCTTTGTGCCGTCTCTGTCACCACCGTTCATCCCTCACCACTCTTTCCTTCTCCCTCCCTCTTCCTCCTTTCTCACTCCCTCATGATTTTGTCGTTCTCTCCCTCTCCTCACCTTTCCCCTCCCCGCGCTCTCGACACTCTCCTCACCCTCGCTCCCTCGTTCTCCTCTGCCGCCCCCCCTCCTCCGTCACCGCTGCTCTGTCTGGCGGAGGGGGAGAAGGAGTGCAAACTTCCCAAAAGACGACGCCGCCGCCGCCGGCGTTCATTCATTGTGAGGTGGGCTCGGCCCTCACGGGCCAACCACGTGTGTCGGTCCGCACGAGGTTTACCTTCCCGATACATCCACTTACAGTCGGCCCAGATTAGTAGGTCGACCTTGTCAAATCCAGGGTACCCTTGAAACCTGTGTCTCGCGACCCATGTTTCCTACATTCCTGTGGCAATGTGGGCCTCGCAAGGGTCTCGTGTCCTCTCGCGTGTCCTGTCCAATCGAGTCTGACTGTCATCAAATCGAATACACTCCGTTTTGCCGTCTGCTGCGGTTCCCACCCGGTCCCCGGACGCCTCGAAGAGCTATCGAAACCATGCCCATTCTGGCTGGCTGCTCTCCGCAGGGAGTTCCTCAGCGAGAGGGTGGAGTTCCTGAGGTCCTGCCCGTGCATCCGGGATGCCCTCCTGGCCTCGAGCGTGACGGAGGCGGAGGCGCTGGGGAAGGGGCAAACGCGACCCCCCCCCTCCCCCTCCCCCCTCCTCCTCCTCCTCCTCCTCCTCCTCCTCCTCCTCCTCCTCCTCCTCCTCCTCCTCCTCCTCCCCCTCCTCCTCCTCCTCCTCCTCCTCCTCCTCCTCCTCCTCCTCCTCCTCTTCCGTAGCCATTGTGGCTCAAATGGTCCCTCGGTCCTTGCCTTCCCAACCTCTCCCAAGGCGCCCGAGGGCCAGGGCCTCGAGGGCGGGCCCCAGCCGCTCCCATCTGCCAGTGTGTCCCGCCCTGTCCACCCCGGGCCCTCGGGGGTGGCCAGGGAGCCCTCCCCCATACTCCTCGGGAGCGGAAAAGAGGGTGGTGATGACTAGGGGGGGGTATTTCATGGCGCGGGCCATGATTTTCCCCCAGATTTCATGGCGCCTCTTCTTATTTCATTACGTCCCAGGCCCCCCCGCTGGGCCGCGCACATGCCGCCGGTCATGATTTGCACCCCCCCTCTTGGCCGCTCCCGAACTCCCTGCAGCTGCCCTCAGAGGACGCTGACTGCTCGGGGGCCTGTTGGTCGCGCGGCATCGTCGTCGTCGTCGTCGCCGCCGCGGCTGCCGCCGTCGCCGTCGTCCGGGGATGGAGGTTCGGGGATTCGGAGGTTTCCGGATCGTTTTCGTCCTTCTTGAACCCCGGTGAGCCTCGGGAAGAGTCCGGGGGTTTTCTCGAGTCGGGGAGGGGGAGCATTTGTGATTTCGGAGGCTTCGGGCGGCTTTGGTTGTCGTCATCGGCATCGTCGTCAACGTGGTTGCCCAGATCACGATCCTCGATATTCGATGCTCGACGGCCGTGTGCCGCCTGATCTGGATATGGTACAGTGCCTTGAGAGAGGTGTTGGCGAGCCATATCTGGACGGGGATCTGGGTAAGAGAATGTCGGGCCCCCCGATGCACGACCAAGTGCCCCCGCGAGGGGGACTGGTCACGATGGATGCGTGCTGCATTTGGACGTGTCCAGCGTCTTGGTGAGCCAGTAGTTCCCCAAACCGTGCTTGCATTGGTGAGCGTGTTTTTATTCATTATTTTGCCGATCGGCGCGGGCCCTCGCCCCCCCCTCGCCCCCCCCCCCTGGAGTGGATCTTGGCTGTTTTTTGGCGCCTGTTTCGAGCAGGTGGGGTCCCTCCCCCATTGGCCACACCACTGCAAACAGTCGCACTTAAGCAGAGGTCCGGAGCCAGAACCACCCCCCTCCCCCCCCCTTTCCGCCCGATGTCGAAACGCCGAAAAAAAACAATGCTCACCTGAGGGGCTCGCTCCTGTCTTGCTCGGGAACCCGCTGGGCCCGCCGAGGTTTGGCCACGCTCTCTTCTGCCTTGGCTGCTATCCTCCTCCCACTTCCCCTCCTCCTCCGCCTGCTCCTCCTCCTTCTCCTCTTCCTCCTCTTCCTCCTCCTCTCCCCTCCTCCTCCCCCTCCTCCTCCTCCTCCTCCTCTTCCTCCTCTCCCCTCCTCCTCCTCCTCCTTCTCCTCCTCCTCCTCCTCCTCCTCCTCCGCGGGTCGTTGGAAGCGGGGATTGCCAAGGCCTTGCGGCCGGTGCCTGCCGACCCCGAAGACGACGACGACGACGACGACGACGAGTACGCGGAGGAGGAGGAGGAGGGGGATTGAGGTGGAAGGGAGCAGGAGAGGGCGAGGGAGATGTTCCCCATGTGGGCCGAGGGGCGGTCGTTGGAAGCAAATATTGCTACAGTGCCGTTTTTTTATACATGCTTCGCGTGCGAATCATGTATTAACTATGCAGGGATTTAGCATTAAGAACAACGATGAGTTCATGCATAAACTTATTCATACATTAGTCATGTATTAAACATCCTATATTAAAGAAATCCAGTGTATTAAAAACTGCCCTGTAAGGCCCTGCGGCCGGTGCCGCCGACCCTGAAGACGACGACGACGAATACGAGGAGGAGGAGGAGGAGGAGGAGGAGGAGGAGGGTGATTCAGGTGGAAGGGAGCATGAGAGGGCGAGGGAGATGTTCCCCATGTGGGCCGAGGGGCGGTCGTGGGAAGTAGGTATTCTGGGGTTCCAAGATCCCACTCTGCTTCGAGCGCCGCCTTCCTGCTCCAAGGGTCGATGTGCTTCTGCTGTGTTCTTTGTTGCTCTCTGGGAGGGCCCGAGCCGAGTCTACTCTATCCGCCTTCCCACTTCGTGCTTTTACCTACTTCTTCCGACCGGCGTGTACCTTTTCCTCAGAAGGGGTTAAACAGCACACAGACACAATTCATTGTCGATTCCCTCGGAAATATAGGGAAATATGGGAAGTGGGGGAATTCGAAAATCAAATAAATAAATAACAACATAAAAAAATATAAATAAATAAATGAGTAAATGAATGAATCAATACATAAATAAGTACATAAATAAATACAAAAAATCATAAGTAAATACATACATACATAAATAACTAAACTAATATATAAATCAATACATCAATAATGAATGAAACAATAAATATATAACTAAAGAAATAAGTACATAAACGAATACATAAATAAATAAATGATTAACTACATAAATACATAAATCAATCAATAACTACATACATACATAAATACATACATAAATACATACATACACACATACATACATAACTATATAACTAATATATAAATAGATAGATACATATATAAATACATACATAATTTAAAACATAATACATACATAAATCCATAAATACATACATCAATAGATACACACATACACACATCTATATATATATATATATGTGTGGAAAAATAGGGGGAAACCTGGGATTTGTGTGTATCTATTTGTGTGTCCCTGGGCCCCTTCATGTTCGCCGGTCTTGGACATCTCGGGATTCTTCTCCTCGTGGCCCAGGACCATTCGAACCACGGAGAGCCTGGGGGCCCGCGGCCGCAGGCAACACGTTCCTCCAGAAGGGGGGGGGGATCTTGGAGGAGCTGGAGACTCGAGGAGGAGGATCGAGCACCTAGGAGGATCGAGGAAGAAGATCGGGCTGGAGGGTCGAGGAGGAGGATCGAGCACCTAGGAGGATCGAGGAGGAAGATCGAGCTGGAAGGTCGAGGAGGAGGATCGAGCACCTAGGAGGATCGAGGAGAAAGATCGAGCTGGAAGGTCGAGGTGGAGGATCGAGCACCTAGGAGGATCGAGCAGGAGGATCGAGCTGGAAGGTCGAGGAGGAGGACGAGCACCGAGGAGGATCGAGCAGGAGGATCGAGCTGGAAGGTCGAGGAGGAGGAGGAGGATCGAGCACCTAGGAGGATCGAGGAGGAAGATCGAGCTGGAAGGTCGAGGAGGAGGATCAAGCACCGAGGAGGATCGAGGAGGAGGATCGAGCTGGAAGGTCGAGGAGGTGGATCGAGAATCGATGATGCAGGACAGACTTTTTTGCACGGCTGTCCTGCTTAGCCCTCGTCGGAACGGCTGACTTCCCCAGGACATGAAGAAGAAGGGCTCAACGCCGCCTCCTCCTCCTCCTCCTCCTCCTCGTCCTCCTTCTCCTCCCTCTCCTCCTACTCCTCCTCCTCCTCCTCCTCCTCCTCCTCCTCCTCCTTCCCCCTCCTCCCTCCTCCCTCCTCCCTCCTCCTTCCTCCCTCCTCCTCTCCCTCCCTCCTGCTGCTTCTCTTCCTTTCTTCTCTCCGGAACGTTCCGGCGATCTTCAGAGAACTCTCTTCCCGAGTGGGCGCGAACGAAGCGGAGGGTAGTCTCTGTGACGGTTTCCGCGGTTTTCCGATGTTTGGAGGCTTTTTGAGATTGGTGGTTTTCGGACGTTGCCGAACATTTCCAGAATTTTCCGGGCGGAGGGGATGAGAATGGTGAGGAGTAGTAAGATGAGCAGGGGGATGGAAAGGAGATGGGGGAGGAGAGGGTGGAAAGGGGGGGGGGGGGACGGGCGATGGAAAGGGATGAAGATGGAGGGAGGGGGACGAGAAAGAGGGACAGGAAGGGAGGAACGCAGAAGAGTGGATTGGAGGGATAACCGGAGGGGTGAGAATGTGGAGGATGAGAGGGCGACGACGCTGGCGACGAGATGGCGAGGACACTCCAGAGCAAAGGCGAACCACATACCAAGCGTGTGCGAGCAGTCACTTATTCTGGACAAGCCGACTGAACTCTGCAAGCGTTGCCATCGCCATCACTTTCAGTAAGCATCTTGAATTATTTACACCCAGTGAGATAGCTGTTTGAGTTTGACAAGCGGTGCCAACTTTGTGAGAGAACAAATGATGAGCAGCTACAGCCATAAGTTGATAAGACGGCCTGCGAATCGTTGTATGATAAGTATGCTGTTGAGGTGCAGGACAACGAGGAGGAGGAGGAGGAGGAGGATGAGGCAGAAGATGAATACTGCAAAGAACAGGAACACGATGATGCGGAGCCGGACGTGGAAGGTGACGTGCTCACGGGTTAGCTTCCCGGATCTGAGATTTGCTGAAGTCTCCGAAGATCCCTGGAGGTCTCTGGAGATCCGAGGCCGCAGGGGTCCCCCGAGGCCCCCAGAGACCTCCAGAGGCAAAATATAGCCAGAAAGCGGTATAATACGCGACGAAAGAACAGTTTCTCTTGAGGTGGCGGTGATGGCCAACCTCCTCCACGAAGTTTGCCTCCACGGGCACGTCATCGCGTGCAAGCAAGGCGACGAGGTCAGCGAGGTCATATTTGTCAGATCTGGTCAGGAGCCGATCGCTGCATCAATTTCCCTTTCCGCGTTTCGCTATACAAATACCTTCTCCCCTCATCGTCCTCTTCGGCATTCTCGCCTTCGTGCTTGGCATCGTACTCGTCGTCGCCGTTGGCGTCGTCCTCTCCCTCGGCCTTTTCCTCCCCCTATTCCTTGTCTCCTCCACCCTCCCTCTCCTTGTCTCCCTCTTGTCTCCCTCTCCCTTCTCCTCGCCCTCCCCCCCTCTCCCTTCCTCTCTCGGTGTATGTCTACACTCTTGCCCTACTCGTCACCTTCCACCTCGTCCCGCTTCTGCCTCTGCGCCTGCTCCGCCTCCTCTCCCCTCTCGCTGCCCTTGTCCTTCCCCTGCCCGTTCCTCTTTCTGCCTGCTTCCCTCGTCCCCCGTCCCCTGTTGCATTCGCATGCGTGCTCAGACCTCGGTCGTTTTTGTTGTCGTCGTCGTCGTCGTTGAACTCTCATTTCTGAAGAATAACTATTGTTGATCACCCCCGTCCGGTGCACATTGTTTTTTTGTTTGAAGTGCCCTTCCTGGGGCTTGCACCCTGTTTTTTATTAGGGAAGGTCTTGAGGGTCAAACTGTGTCGTTGGCCCCCGGTTTACAACAACAACGGCTCCCGCCTGAGACTTCCTCACAATTTAGCCAGGACCCCCGCTCCCGCCCGAGACTTCCTCGCGTTTTACTCAGGAATCGCGCCCTCGCTTGGGGACTTCCTTAGAATTTATTCTCCCGGCGCTCTGGAGTTGGCTCTCGGTGGAGACTTGCTTGCAACTTACCGAAGAATAGCGCCCTTGCGTTGGAATTTCTTGCAATTTACTCAAGCGCCGGCTCCCGACACCCAGGCACCCAGGAGTCGCGCTCACGCTTAGGACTCCCTCACAAATTACATAGGAATCGGGATCTCGCTGCCCTTCGTGGCCCCGTTGCAGCCCTTCGTGGCCCCCTCGCTTTGTTTCGTGGCCCCGTTGCAGCCCTTCGTGGCCCACTCGCTGCCCTTCGTGGCCCCGTTGCAGCCCCTCGTGGCCTCCTCGCTGCCCTTCGTGGCCCCGTTGCAGCCCTTCGTGGCCCCCCTCGCTTTGTTTCGTGGCCCACTCGCTGCCCTTCGTGGCCCCCTCGCTGCCCTTCGTGGCCCCATCGCAGCCCTTCGTGGCCCCGTTGCAGCCCTTCGTGGCCCCCTCGCTTTGTTTCGTGGCCCCGTTGCATCCCTTCGTGGCCCCCTCGCTGCCCTTCGTGGCCCCATATATGTATGCCCTTCGTGGCCCCCGCTCGTTCGCGCCCGCGGTGGCCCCATATGCATCTGTCCTACGTGGCCCAGTTGCTACCCTCAGTGGCCCCATCGTTGCCTTCTGTGGCCCCGTATTATCTGCCCTTCCTGGCCCCCGCTCGTTCGCGCTCTTCGTGGCCCCATACGCATTCCCTTCGTGTCCCCGCTGTTGCCCTTCGTGGCCTACTTCTTGTCCTCGTGGCCCTGCTGTCGTTCTCTTTCGCTCTCGCTTTCGCTCGTCGTCGTCGTCGCCGTCGTCGTCGCCGTCGTCGTCGTCGACGTCGACGTCGTCGTCGTGGTCGGTCCCCTGCCCGTCCCTCTTGGGGTCGGGTCGACGGTCCGCGGCCGCCCCGCCGATCAGCGCTGCCGCTGGCCACGCCGACGGTCCGCGGCCGCCCCGCCGCTTGCCGGGGCCCGGCCTGCAGGGAAGAAAGATATACCCCCAAAAGGGGTTCGATCGAAGACGAAGAGGGCGGGTATCGAGGGTGTGGGAAATACGCATTATTAGACACTCGAGCAGATAAGGGCGAACAGTCTTAAAATGATTGTTGTTGTTGTTGTTGTTGCTGTTGTTGTCGTGGTTGTTGTTGCTGTTGTTGTTCTTGTTGTTGCTGCTGTTGTTGTTGTCGTCGTCGTTGTTGTCGTTGTTGTCGTTGTTGTTGATGTTGTGGTTGTTGTTGTTGTTGTTGTTGTTGAACATTATTTATTCTAAAGAATAATTATTGTTGGGCCCCCTGGTGCGCGCCCCCCCTGCGCCGCCTAGGCCGCAGCTGCATTTTCATCATTTTCGTGAGGAAGCCTCAGAAAAGAGGGTGTGTACAGGATCCGGTTGTTTTGTTGTAATCCGCTTTCCCTTGCAAAAAACAATAGAAAATGACATTTCTTGTTCTAATATAATCAAATTTCAAGAATCCCTTGCAAAAAATAAGGTAAAGTGGACATTCGCGCGCGCAAGACGAAATCCTTCCAAAACCTTAGTGTTCGCAGCGATTTTAACATAAAAACATCAAAAAACCAATGGTTTTTCAACAAAAAATTGTCAAAATCTCATCCCGCGCGCTCTTGCGGATTCGTAGGAAACCCAACACTTTTTAAACATTTCTGTCAAACGGGCTTTTGCGAGCAACTTTTTCGAACTTCTGCGACAACGGTTGCGCACCTGCCAGGGCCATCATCCCTGTCAAATAATACCATGCGGGACACATTCGTTTTTTCTTCGCGCGCGCACGCCGTCGTCGTCGGCCGCGGGGCCCTGAATAGTAGCCACGGTCGTCCGCATGCCACGAAGTGAAGTGTCCGAACGTCATAGGGCGGGAAGCTGGGTGTGGGTGGTGGCGAAGAGTCGTTTGGAAATTTGGTAGAGCTTGAACCGGCCCCCCCACAAAGTGGGGGTATTGCCCGCCTCCTATGAAAACCCTGGCACTGGTGAGAACGGTGTGTCCCCACGTGCTAGTAATTGTTGTTGTTGTTGTTGTTGGTGTTGTTGTTGTTGGTTGACACGTGACCTTGTTTCCTGGGGGCCCCCCCAGCAACCAGCAACCAGCAACCGAAGGTTCATTTCAGCACACCCCTCTCGAGGATCGTGGCCTTGGCCTCACAAGGAGCTCCACCGAAGGTTCTTTTCGGCACACCTCTCTCGATGATCGTGTCCCTGGCCCCACAGGGAGCTCCACCGAAGCTTCATTTCGACGCACCCCTCTCGAGGATCGTGGCCCTGGCCCCACAAGGATTTCGACCGAAGCTTCATTTCGGCACACCCCTCTCGAGGATCGTGACCGTGGCCCGACAGGGAGCTCCACCGAGGTTTCACTTCAGCACGCCCCTCTCGAGGGTCGTGGCCTTGGCCCCACAGGGAACTCCATCGAGGCAATCCCTATTAGGATTTTCACAGGACGGTATACGATTCCTATAGGGTCCTATAGGACTTATGATCCTTTTCTACGAGTCCTATAGGATCCTTTAGGACCACATGGGATTTCTACACGATCCGTATAGGATTGCTATAGGATCCCATGGGGTCGCATCGGTTCCTATACATTCCCTATACGATTCCTGTAGGGTCCTACAGGATCGCACGGGATTCAGATACAATCCCGATCGGATTCCTATAGGATCCTGTAGGATCGCATGGGATTCCTGTACAATCCCCAGGCGATTCGTATAGGATCCTACAGGTTCGCATGGGAATCTGATAGAATCCCCACAGGATCATATATACTTTCTGTAGGATCCTGTAGGACCGCATGGTATTCCCGTCGAATTCCTGTATGATTCCTATAGGGTCCTACAGGGTCGCACGGGATTCCTATACAATCTTTACACGCTTCCTATAGATATTCTACAGGGTCGTGTGGGATTCATATAGAGACCCCACAGGATCCTACAGGATCCCTTTCTAGGATCCTGTAGGATCTCATCGGGTCCCTCTAGGGGCCTTGTAGGATCCTATAGGATCGCAGGGGATCCCTATACGCTTCCTGTCGGATCCTGTAGGATAGCATGGGGTACCTATACAATCCCCATAAGATTGCTATATGATCCTATCGGGTCGCATCGGTTCCTATACGATTCCTATACGATTCCTGTAGGATCCGACAGGGTCGCATGGGATCCGTATAGAATCCCCGCAAGATCTCACAGGATCCCTATCGGATCTTCCATGATCGCATAGGATCCCTATAAGGGGCCCTATAGGATCCTATAGGGTCGCATGAGATTACTATACAATCCCTATGCGATTCCTATAGGATCCTATATGGTCGCATGGGAATCCTGTGCACTCCCTGTAGGACTCCTGCAGGATCCTATAGCGTCGCATGGGATTCCTATAGAATTTCCATACGATTCCTAGAGGATCCCATAGGATCGCATGGGATTCCTCAACAATCTTTATATGACTCCTATAGGCTCCTCTAGGGTAGCATGGGATTCCCATAGAATCCCGTCGGATTCCTATCGGATCCTACAGGATCACATGGGATCCCTACAGAATCTTTATAGGATCCTATCGGATCCAATCGGATTTCATAGGACCCTATATGATCGCATAGAATCCCTATAGGATTTCTTTTGGATCCCTATGGGATCCTTATAGGATTATAGGACTTCCACAAGATCATAGAGGATCGCATAAGATCCCTATAGGATCCCCATATGATCCCTATCGGATTCCCATAGGATCCTATATGATCACATAGGAGCCGATCGATTCCTGAGCTTTGCTGGTGCAGACATGGAAACATTGCATGAAGGAGGAGGTTCACGCTCTTAAGCAAGCGAAGTTACAGCGGAGCGAGGAACGTAGCCCGAGGGTGTTGGTTGCTGGTTGCCGGGGGGGGTTGTTTACCCGCGGGAAGCAAGGTCACGAGTTGTCTTTTTAAGGACAAGCACTGACCAAGTTTCCCGGTGAACGTGCAACAAGAGCACGTGTCAACCTTGTCGTTGAACCTTCAATTCTGAAGAATAATTATTGTTGGTCCCCCACACTGGTGCATCTATTTTTTTCTCAATCAAAGTGTGCCCCTCGACGCTCGCATCCTGTTTTTTATCCGGGAAAGTCTTGAGATTCAAATTGGGCCTTTGGCCCCCCGGGTTACAACAACAACAACAACAGCGGCTCCCGCTTGAGATTTCCTCACAGTTTAGCCAGGACCCCCGCTCCCGCCCGAGACTTCCTCGCATTTTATTCAGGAGTCGCGCTCTCGCTTGGGACTTCCTTACAATTTATGCAGGCATCGCTCTCCTGGAGCTCTGGAGTCGCGCTCTCGCTGGAGACTTGCTTATAATTGATTGAAGAATAACGCCCTTGCGTTGGAATTTCTTGTAATTTACTCAAGCGCCGCGTTCCCGACACCCAGGCACCCAGGAGTCGCGCTCACGCTTAGGACTCCCTCACAAATTACATAGGAATCGGGATCTCGCTGCCCTTCGTGGCCCCGTTGCAGCCCTTCGTGGCCCCCTCGCTGCCCTTCGTGGCCCCCTTGCATGCCCCTCGTGGCCTCCTTGCTGCCCTTCGTGGCCCCGTTGAAGGGCTGCCCCGTTGCAGCCCTTCGTGCCCCCCTCGCTGCCCTTCGTGGCCCCGTCGCAGCCCTTCGTGGCCCCGTTGCAGCCCTTCGTGGCCCCCTCGCTGCCCTTTGTGGCCCCGTTGCATCCCTTCGTGGCCTCCTCGCTGCCCTTCGTGGCCCCATATATGTATGCCCTTCGTGGCCCCCGTTCGTTCGCGCCAATGGTGGCCCCATATGCGTGCCCTTCGTGGCCCCGCTGTCGCCCTTCGTGGCCCCCTCGCTGTCGTTCGTGGCCCCGTTGCTGCCCTCAGTGGCCCCGTCCTTGCCCTCCGCGGCCCAGTATACCTATGCCCTTCGTGGCCCCCGCTCGTTCGCGCCCGTTCTGGCCCCATGTGCATGCCCTTGGTGGCTCCGCTGTCGCCGTGTGTGGCTCCCTCACTGTCCTACGTGGCCCAGTTGCTACCCTCAGTGGCCCCATCGTTGCCCTCTGTGGCCCCGCATTATCTGCTCTTCGTTGCCCCCGCTCGTTCGCGCTCTTCGTGGCCCCATACGCATTCCCTTCGTGTTTTCGCTGTCGCCCTTCGTGGCCTACTTCGTGTCCTTGTGGCCCTGCTGTCGTTCTCTCTCGCTCTCGCTTTGCTCGTCGTCGTCGTCGTCGCCGTCGTCGTCGATGTTGTCGTCGTCGTTGTCGTTGTTGTCGTTGTTGTTGGTGGTGGTTGGTTGGTTGGTTGGTTGGTTGGTTGGTTGGTTGTTTGTTTGTTTGTTTGTTTGTTTGTTTGTTTGTTTGTTTGTTTATGTGTTTGTTTGTTGGTGTTTTGCAGGTTTAGTCCGTGAGTCCCAGAGCCCTTGACCTCTTCCCTGGGTGCAGTCTTTCGTCCTGACGTTCTCGGGTGGTTTTGGAGGTTGCTAGCTGCCCACGGAGGCCGACATGGAGGAACACGTCGGGATTCGGGTGGCGTCCCTTGCCCGAGGGGATGTCGTAGGGCTGCCACGAGAGGAGCCTGTCCAGGAGTTGGTGCACTGACAGGAATCGATCGTGTGTTTGTCCCTCGCGATGTGAGGAAGGAGGATGATCCACACGAGCGACGTAGAGCACGCGGGAGCCGACTGGGCGGCATTCCCGCAGACTGCTCGTCTCAAGGTCGCGCGTACGCGCGCATTTTTCCCACGTAAGCTGCCGCGCTGGCGGCTCGCTTGAGATGCCGCGCAAGGTCGCCATCTCTCATGACGCCAACATCGCAGAGCGGATTTCGTTCGGAAAACGATCGGATGTGGTGTCCTGGAGAATTTCGTTCAGGATTTCCAGGTGAATTTCGTGCGGACTTTTGTTGGTCAGGAATGAAGATTAAAACAACATCCACGCGAAATTCACTTCGTTTTTCACTCGCCGTTCCCAGGTTTTGCGTTGGCAGAAATCCACGCGCAAATCCGCTGCAGCACGTCTGCAAGGTCGGTGCAGTGACATCTCCTCCCGCTTGAGACCCGCTCTTAGCTCAGATGGAGGAAGTCCCAACAGCATCAGCAGTAAATCGTTCGTTCGCTCCCCAAACGGATCCTTCGACCAGGCCTGGGGTGCGTTCTAACCAGAATTTCGAGGATAATCCCGCCGTGACGACGTGGGCGCGCTAAGGGTCCGAAGAAGGCCCAAAGATGTCACATAACTTCGATCCTTGATTCTCCATCCTAGGCTCTGCTGTCCTGGATGTTTCCTCAAGTCCCTGGAGATCTGAAGATCTCTGGATCTCTTGGGGTCTCCGAAAGCCTCCAGGGGCTTGAACAGAGAAAGCTGTTTCAAACGAGCTCCCAGAGCTCTAAGTGTATTGAGTAAGAACCCGGCCATCGTCTTCGGTGGAGCTCCTTATGGGGCCACGAAAACGTGTGGTGTGTGTGTGTGAGTGTGTGTGTATGTTTGTGTGCCGCAATGTGTACCAGAGACGCATGCGAACGCTGCCACTGGGACCTTCGGTGGAGCGCCCTATGGGGCCATGAAACGTGTGAGCGGTGTGCCGACATGGGTGGTGGGGACGCGTGCGGACGGTGCCGCTGGGACCTTCAGTTGAGCTCCCTATGGGGCCAAAGTGTGAGGAGTGTGCCGAAATTGGGGGCGGGGACGCATGCGAACGCTTCCACTGGGACCTTCGGTGGAGCCCTATGGGGCCACGAAACGTGTGAGGGGTGTGCCGAAATGGGTGGCGGGGACGCGTGCGAATGGTGTCACTGGGACTTTCGGTGGAGATGGAGCCCATCATGGGGCCACGGAGCGTGTGAGGGGTGTGCCGACATGGGTGGCGGGGACGCGTGCGGATGGTGCCACTGGGACCTTCGGTGGAGCTCCCTATGGGGCCACGGAGCGTGTGAGGAGTGTGCCGAAATTGGTGGCGGGGACGCGTGCGGATGGTGCCAGTGGGACCTTCGGTGGAGCTCCCTATGGGGTCACGACACGCGTGAGGGGTGTGTGCCGAAATTGGTGGCGGGGACGCGTGCGGATGGTGCCAGTGGGACCTTCGGTGGAGCTCCCTATGGGGTCACGACACGCGTGAGGGGTGTGCCGAAATGGGTCGCGGGGATGCGTGTGGACGATGCCACCCGGACCTTCGGTGGAGCTCCCCATGTGGCCAGGCAACGTGTGAGGGGTGTGCCGAAAGGGTCGACCTGATGCGGAGAGCAGAAGTGAGGAGCGGGAGGAGGGGGGGGTAATGGGACGGAAGGAGCGCGAGGCGCTGTCTCTTCAAGACGAGGGCCCAACACCACAGGATGGTTAGGAACAAGCTCCAAGAACGGCAAGAAACCTCAGACTTGGGCCCTCGAACCTCGGCCATCGATATCGCCGCCCCGCCCGCCCCCCCCCGGAGCTGCTGAAAATCCGGGCCGTGGACGTGGCCGCCGCCGGGAGCATCGCCGGCAACCCCCGGTCGCCGTCGCAGGCCGACCAGGAGAGCGCGACGAACCAGAGCGCGGAGGGGGAGGAGGAGGAGGAGGAGGAGGAGGAGGAGGAGGAGGAGGAGGAGGAGGAGAGGAGGAGGAGGAGGAGGAGGAGGAGGAGGAGGAGGAGGAGGAGGAGGAGGAGGAGGAGGAGGAGGAGGAGGAGGAGGAGGAGGAGGAGGAGGAGGAGGAGGAGGAGGAGGGGAGGAGGAGGAGGAGGAGGAGGAGGAGGAGGAGGAGGAGGAGGAGGAGGAGGAGGAGGAGGAGGAGGAGGAGGAGGAGGAGGAGGAGGAGGAGGAGGACCCCCCCCCAGGGTTGCCGAAGGTCCGCCGACGTCTGGCGTGCACCGTGCCGCGTTGGCGTCGCCCGCTGCGTCGTCGCTCCTCGGCCCTGGAAGGGTGCAGTGCTCAGCTCTCGGCCCTCGGGGCCGCAAACCTAAGCCCCGCACCGCATTCGGAGGCCTGAAGTCGAGGCAGAACAAACGGCACAAACATAAGCTTTTGACGCTCCGCGCGGATGTCTTGGATCCGCGCTGGGGCCCCCCGGCGGCGCCTCCGGCGCCGCCCCTGGCGCGCTCCGCGCGCCAGGGAGGGGGGTCGGGCGCAGATCCAAGAAACCCGCGCGGAGCGCCACAAGTTTTTTGCTTATGCTGTTGTTATTGTTCCTCCCCAAAATCCGCCTGTAGGAGTGGTGCAGCGCTCAGCTTTCGGCCCTCGGGGCCCAAAACCTATGCACCGCACTGCGTTCGGAGGCCTGGATGGAGGGTTTCTCCGAAGGGCTTAGGCGACCCGTCCTCCTCCTTCTCCTTCCCTCCTCCTCCTCCTCCTCCTCCTCCTCCTCCTCCTCCCTCCTCCTCCGCCTCCTCCTCCTCCTCCTCCTCCCTCCTCCTCCTGGGCTGCCGAGCTGATAAGTTTGTGCACCCCCCCGGCTGAGGGGGCGTTGACCCCACTTCCGAGGACAGCCGTACCGTACCGTACCGTACCGTACCGTACCGTACCGTACCGTACCGTACCGTACCGTACCGTACCGTACCGTACCGTACCTCCTCCTCCTCCTTCTCTTCCTTCTCCTCCTCCGCCGCCGCCGCCTCCTTCTCCTTCTCCTCCTCCTTCTCCTCGTCGTCCTCCTCCTCCTCCTCCTCCTCCTCCTCCTCCTCCTCCTCCTCCTCCCCCTCCTCGGGTCGCCTACGGCCCCGGGGGAAACCGTGCACCTGCCGTGGAGGAGGAGCTCCGATCTGGGCGCCGCAGCATGTTGCACCGGGCGTTTTTTCGCTCCGCTTCGGGCCCCGGGTGGCCCCGAACGAGCGCTCCCGCTCGAGAAGTGCAGCAGCAAGACTGGGTCGAGGGCTCGGGTCTCGCAGCTTTCACGGTGTCACATGTTCTCTCAGCGTCTGCTTCTCCCTGGAGGGCTTCTCCGAAGGGCTCAGGCGATCCGTCCTCCTCCTCCTCCTCCTCCTCCTCCTCCTCCTCCCTCCTCGTCCCTCCTCCTCCTCGTCCTCCTCCTCCTCCTCATCCTTGGGTCGCCCACGGCCCTGGGGGAAACCGTGCACGTCTCTGCCCTCGTCACGCTCTTGCATGCTGGCCGGTTCGCTCTTCGGTGCTCCCGTACAGCTCTATTGCTGGTGCGGCCAGCTCTGCCCCGCCGCCGACGAACAAAAATGCTTTCGCAGCGTTGGATTTGAGAGGGGGAACAGGGGTGGGGGATACGAAATCTGCTGCCATGAGCTGGTTTCGGACCCGCCGCCGGACACTTTTTTGGGATGCATGGTCGCCTGAGGCGCTGGGAGGAGCCAGGAACACCAGTTACGTATAGCTGTTTCGCTAAGCCCCCTGTCGCAACCCCCCCCCTCTGGTTCCCCCCGACCCTGAGCAGGAGGGAAAGGGAGTCAGCGGCGATTTGTGTGTTGACTATTCTTCGGAATTTAGTGTTTGTACTCTAGGAGCCTTGGTGCCTTGGTGGGCCTCCTTGGGTGCCCTCGTGACCTCGGCTGGATCCGCCTCGAAATTCCGGCCAACATGCGCTTCAAGACAGATCCAGCGGTCGACTTTGATGATGATGATGATGATGATGATGATGATGATGATGATGATGATAATAATAATGACGATGATGAGGAGGATGAGGAGGAGGAGGAGAAGAAGAAGAACAAGGAATATCGCATTACATTATTTTACATTGCTTTGCCATGCTTTGCATTGCTTTGCATTGCTTTGCATTGCTTTGCATTGCATTGCTTTGCGTTGCCTTGTACTGCCTTGCAATGATTGCATTGCTCCGCATTCCTTTGCTTTCCTTTGCATTGCATTGCTTTGCATTATTCTGTATTGCTTTGCATTGCCTTTCTTGGCTTTTCGTGGCGTTGTATGTTTTTTTTCACAGTTTTGCATTGCTTTGCATCGTAATGCTTAGCTTTGTTTTTTTTGCTTTGCATTGCTTTACATAGGTTGGCATTGCGGTGCATTGATTTGCATAGCTCTGCAAGGCTCTGCCTTGCTTTGCATTGGTTTGCATCGCAGTACTTTGCTTGGAACTGCGTTGGATTGCTTTGCATTGTTTTGCATGGCTTTGCAAGGTTTGCATTGTGTTGAATGCTGTGCATTGCTTCGCGTCGCATTTTTTCTTTTTTGTCCTTAGTTTTGCCTTGTATTTCTTCATTGCTATGCTTGCATTGCATTGCTCTGCATTGCTCTGCATTGCATTGCATTGTTTTGCATTGCTTAGCATCACATTGCATCGTATTGCACTGCGTTGCATCGCTATACTCAGCTTTGCATCGCTGTGCATCGCTCTGTATTGCTTTACACCGCACAGAGTGCACCACACATATTGCACTGCAGTGTTTGTTACAATGCACCGCATGGACTCCAAGATATTACTGTTTGGGATCCACGCTGGCTAACATGGGCAAACTGATGAGGTAGTGAAGGGGGAGGAAGGAGGACGAGGACGAGGAGGCAGGGGAGCATGCGGAGGAGTCCGCGGCATCTTGTTGCCCAGGCGAAGATGCAAGAGCTATTCACCGTCAAGAGAACGGCCCGCCGGACGAGCGCGATGGAGAAACTGGACACAGACATGCTTGACCCGCAGAGCAAGTCTTCCGCAGGCTCGAAGGAGCAGGCCCAGCCGCGCCAGCCCGGACAGGCCCCAGCTGCAGCGGCCAGCAAGTGGGCTGTCTTGCGGAGGGAGATGCTGCAGCGGCGCCTCTCAGGGGCCATCTCCGGCCAGGAGTCGAGGAATACAGCAAACGACATATGTTTGAGGTCCACGAGGATTTCTCGGGTCGGCGCCTGGGGAGGGGGTTTCATCGCCGACGCATTAAGCCCGCCCGGGCGTCGAAACGGTTACATTTATGAAGCTATCTTTTCTTGTCCTGAGGACGCCGTCGAAGGGCTGCGAAAGCACTTGGAAAAGCACGCGAACAAACCCGACGCCATCGAGACGTCGTCCGAGGCCCCGACCACTGCGGGCAATGGTGGAAGGCACATGCTTCTCTCCGTCGGCTTCGTCGGCCCTTTCGAGAGGTTTGGCGACCGCGAACTCTTTCTCGGCGAGAGGCACGCCGTGAGTTTGATCAGCAATCCAGTGGCGAAGTTGTACACGATGAAGAGGCACGACATCCTGAAGCTGCCCAAAAGGCTGCTGTCAGAGCTGTTTGGGCAGCAGGCCCTGTGCCTGCCGGACGACAGGCAGCTGCTCGCGATGTATCGGCGGGGGAAGAAGTGGGATCATTTCAGGAAGGGCGTGCACGTTCAGCACCGCCGCGGGGTGGACGCCGACAGCAACCTGGAGTTCCTAGGGGCGAGCGGCGGCGCCGCGGACGTGGACAGGGCAAGCGACCGGCGCCCGCCCGCGGACAGCAGGCGCGTAGGCCTGACCCTGGAGGAGGCCGAGGACTTCAGCCAGTCCCCCGCCTCCTTCCTGCACCGCTTCCACGGCATGAGGTGCGACCGCGGCCTTCGCGACCACTGCGCCAGGAGCAGGGGAACGAAAAGTGACATAAACATAAAAACTCGGAGGTCCGCGCGGATTCCTCGGATCGGCGCTGGACCCCCCTCCCTGGCGCGCGGAGCGCGCCAGGGGCGGCGCCAGGGGCGGCGCCGGAGGCGCCGCCGGGGGGCCCCAGCGCCGATCCGAGAAATCCGCGCGGACCTCCGAGTTTTTATGTTTACAGTCGGGGCCCTGAAGAAGGAACCCTTTTCGTTGGGGCGGGGCAGTTTGCCTTCGGTTTTCCTAGGGTTTACCATGGGAGATCGAAGCTCAACTTATGGGAGAAAGGGGCCTCGTTCCTCATTTGGAGTTCCTTAGGTCAACGCCCCCACTGTATGTCACTTTTCGATATGTTTTTCCTTATGTCTTCGATCGGAAATCGAAGTTTAACTTATGGAAAAAAGAGGCCTCGTTCCTTATTTCGGGTTCCTTAGGTCAACGCCCCCACTGTTTATGTCACTTCTCGTTCCCCCTATAAGGCGGGGGCTGCGGTACGAGGAGCTCGGCCGCCCGCGCGGCGAGGCGGACATCGGCGCCTTCCAGCTGGAGAGGCAGTGGTCCCAGGTTTATGCCGGGCCCGCCCCCCTACAGGGGCATTTTCGACGAAAAATAACAAATACCCCCAAAATAATACAAAAAGGCCAAAACATATTAAAAAAATAGGCCCCAGACTATTTTTGGATTATTTTTTGAGCATTTTTGGGGTATTTTTCATTTTTCGTCGAAAATGCCCCTGTAGGGGGACAGGCCCGACAGAATCCCAGGTGCGGGGGGGCGTCTTCGCCGACCTCGAGGCCGACCTCGACGAGGCCGCCGAGCTGGAGCTCGCGCGCCACCACCGCAGCCCGCAGCTGCTGCCCCCGCGGGGCCGCAGCCCGCGGGGCGGCAGCTCGCGGGGCGGCAGCCGGCGGGGCGGCAGCCTGCGGGGCAGCTCCAGCGGCAGCTCCGGCTCAGGCTCCGCCCTGCTCCTCCTCCTCCTCCTCCTCCTCCTCCCGCCTCCTGCTCCTCCTCCCTCCTCCTCCCCTCCTGCTCCTCCTCTCCCTCCTCCTCCTCCTCCTCCTCTCCTCCTCCTCCCCCCCCCCCTCCGCCTCCTGCTCCGTCCTCTCCCTCCTGCCTCCTCCTGGCTCCGTCCTCCTCCTGCTCTGCTCCTCCTCCTCCTCCTCCTCCTCCTCCTCTCGCCTCTTGCTCCGCCCTCCTCCTCCTCCTCCTTCTCCTCCACCCGCCTCCTCCCGCCTCCTGCTCCGTCCTCTCCCTCCTGCCTCCTCCTGCCTCCTCCTGGCTCCTCCTCCTCCTCTCCTCCTTCCTCCTCCTCCTCCTCCCTCCTCCTCCTCCTCCTCCTCTCCGGGCGGCAGCCCGGGTCTCCATGGGCCAGGCGTGTCAAAGGCCAGAGGTGCGCGCAGCCAGGTGCCTCTCCGCGGCGCTCAGAAGACGGGGGCCTCCTGGAAGGCCGCAGGTGGCCCACCCGCTACCATGGGGAAATCAAAGCTTTTGGCCTCTCGGGGCCCTCTTGGGGGGATTCTTGGAGCCCGTGCTCCTGCTCATGCAGTACCCCTGCTGACTGCCGTGGCTGACCCGCAGACACTTTGTCTCTACCCCCCCGGGGTGTTTGCGCCCGGGCACGCGGCGGCCATGCTGGGTGCGGCGGGCTCCGTGGCGCGACGTCTGGCCAATGTCAGGAGGGGAAAAAACACACAGACACAATGAATCGGCGATTCCCAGAACATATGGGAAAACATGGGATGGGAAGCGGGGGGGGGAAGACAAAAACCCAGAAACTACGTGAAACTATGGGGGACATCTTTTTATTGGTGTCTATCTATTTGCTTGTCCCAGTTCCCCTTCACAGTGTCTCTCCCAGGGTGCCCTCTGCCCAGGGAGAGCGAGGGAGGGGCGGCCTCCTCCGCGGCGGGCGGGCCGCTCCGAGGGCTTCTCAAGGTGTCGCCCCCCTCGCGCCACCGCCCCGCCTGCGCCGCCCGCGAAAGAGCGGGGGTGTCCGGGGAAGGGGCGGGGGCGTTTCCGAGGCCTGCCTTCGTGCAGCCGGTCTCGAGTCGGGCCTGCCTCTCTAGGGGGGGAAGATGCAGAAACAGCCGAAGAAAGAGTCTGGGGGACCATTTTTGGAGTGTCTTTGGGCGGGACTTACATCGGGCATGTCCCTCAACAGGAGGACTGTTCCAGAATGGTCCAGTCGTCAGGGGACGAATTTTCGTTCTCGGCTATTCTTGAGCAGTTCTTTATTAGTTCCACTTTTTCCCAAATCCGCCTGTAGGGGACATGCCCGACCCAAGGCGGAACCTCTCCCTCGCTGGGGTTGGGTTGCTTTTTCTCGTGAGTTCCAAGGGCGTTCCAGGGGCGTTGCCGCCACGTTCGCGAGCACCCCGAGCGGCCCCGCGGAGCTGCCCGTCCGAGCAGCAGTCGCCACTCTCGTGAGCACCCGGGGGCCCCGCCCTCCTCCCGGGCCTCCTGCCCCTGGCCCCGCGCGCCGCCCAGGATTCGCTCCGCACCAGTCCCCCGGGCCCCTCCCGGGGCCCCGCCGCGGCCCGCGGTCCGAGCCCCGACCAGCCGCCGTCGACGAGGGAGGGCCCCGCAGGCAAAGACACGCGCAACAAAGCAGGCCAGCGGCAATGGGCGGCGTAGAGCATGTGGGGCGACGGCGCGGACAGTCGCGCGCAGGCTGCCTGCGCAAGGCCGGGCGTCAGCGCCACCTTCTCTCTCTCCGTCTGCACGGGGTGCCGCGTGGCTCAAGCGTGTGTGGCGCCCCTCCGATCCTCCTTCCCGCATGCCTTGCACCAGTCGGCGGCGAGCGAGGGGGGGAAGTGAGAAAGGGGCGGGCCTTCTCAGAAGGCTCGAAAGTCCCCCGGCCTTTTGGGAAGTTTTGTTGAGCCTTCCCCGAGGACACGGAAAAACCTCCCAGAAGGCGTGAGGGTTTTTGGGGAGTCCCGCCGCCTCTTGAGAAGGCCTTCTCCTTCTGACCTCCCCCCCTTCGCTGCCGAGCAAGAGGATCGACAGACAGACGGACAGACAGACGGACAGACAGAAACCCTACGCTGAGGTCGGGCACGTCCTCCTACAGGCGGAGGACTCTGAAAAACCACCCCACAAATATTCCCCATAATAGCCAGAAACAATTTTTAAAAATTGTCCCCAGACCATTTTTTGACCGTTTGTGAATACAGTGCCGTTTTCTTTGATACATGCTCCGCGTGCGGATCATGTATTTTCCATGCAGGGATTTAGTATACAACGATGAGTTCATGCATAGATTTATGCATCAATTAATCATGTATTTAAACTTATATGTTTGTAGGAATCCTGTGTGTTAAAAACTGCCCTGTACTCCTCCTGTGGAGGGACAGGCCCGACTCAACCCGACGCCCGGGGCGGCGACGCGCCCGTTGCGGGCCCTCCGTTGTGCCAGCAGGGCGGGGCGCCCAGGCCGGAGCGGGCCGCCGCTTCTGAGACCCTCCTCGCACCAGGCTCGGCGGCGAGCGCTGGGGGGGTGGAGGAGGAGGAGGAGGAGGAGGAGGAGGAGGAGGAGGAGGAGGAGGAGGAGGAGGAGGGGAGGAGGAGGAGGCGGAGGAGGAGGAGGAGGAGGAGGAGGAGGAGGAGGGGAGGAGGAGGAGGGGAGGAGGAGGAGGAGGAGGAGGAGGGGAGGAGGAGGAGGAGGGAGGAGGAGGAGGAGGAGGAGGAGGAGGAGGAGGAGGAGAGGAGGAGGGGAGGAGGAGGAGGAGGAGGAGGAGGAGGAGGAGGGAGGGGGAGGGGAGGAGGAGAGGAGGAGGGAGGAGGAGGAGGAGGAGGAGGAGGAGGGGAGGGGGAGGAGGAGGAGGAGGGAAGGAGGAGGAGGAGGAGGAGGAGGCGAGGAGGAGGAGGAGGAGGAGGAGGAGGAGGAGGAGGAGGAGGAGGAGGAGGAGGAGGAGGAGGAGGAGGAGGAGGAGGAGGAGGAGGAGGAGGAGGAGGAGGAGGAGGAGGAGGAGGAGGAGGAGGAGGTGGAGGAGGAGGAGGAGGAGGAGGAGGAGGAGGAGGAGGAGGAGGAGGAGGAGGAGGAGAGAGGACGAGGAGGACGAGGAGGAGGAGGAGGAGGAGGAGGAGGAGGAGGAGGAGGAGGAGGAGGAGGGGTGAGAAGGAGAAGGCCTTCTCAGGAGGCGGCGGGACTTCTCAGAAAGCCTCGCGCCTTCTGAGAGGTTTTCTGTGTCTTCGGGTGAGGCTCAGGAAACCTCATAGGAGGCTTGGGGAGGACTTCCGAGCCTTTTGAGAGGGTCCGCCCCCTTCTCCCTTCCCCCCCGCGCTCGCCGCCAAGTTGCTTCTGGAGGAGGAGGGCCGACATGCAGACAGACTGAAGCCACACCCGCTCGAGATCATCTCAGTCGTCTTGCCCAGCTAGCGCGTCGACGCTGAGCCATCATCATATCGTCATGACCACCACCACCACCACAGGGCTCGTCCCGATTTCCCCCGATGCGATGCGATGCGATTTTTGGCAGCTTCCGATTCCGATTCCGCTCCGGCTCGGGGTTCCGATTGATTCCGGCTCCGACTCCTCCGTGGAGGCCCCGTGGCCTGCCGACCCCCACCGAGATGCGACTTCTCCCGACTCGGCTGCGAATTTCCGCCGCTCCGCTGTGTTGACGAACGAGCAACGCACACCCATACCCATAGGGGGGCCGTTGAGAGGAGGACTGGCCATGGGTATGGGTGCGGGTCGTCGCACCCTGGGGAACGCTCCCGCTCGAGCAGGGGACCCCCATCCGACAACACGCACCCATAGCCCTCTCCGACCCCCTATGGGTATGGGTGTGCGTTGTTGGTCGTCAGAACTGTGCCGATCGCCGAGCCGACTCGTCGCTTCGATCCTGGGCCCGCCCGCCGCCGCCGCTTCGCCCGGGAAGGCTCCGATTCCTCCGTGGAGGCCCCGTGGCCTGCCGACCCCCACCGAGATGCGACTTCTCCCGACTCGGCTGCGAATTTCCGCCGCTCCGAGCCGTGTCGATCGCCGCTTCTCCGCCCAAGTCAAGCCTCGCGCGGCCCGCTTCGTTTTCGACCGGAAGAGGCGCGCTCTCGACCCGCGGATCAACAATTGTGTCGATCGATCGCCGAGCCGACTCGTCGATTCGAGCCTGGGCTCGCCTGCCACCGCCGCCTCGCCTCGCCGACCCCCACCGCGATGCGACTTCTCCCGCCTCGGCTGCCGATCTTCCGCCGCTCCGAGTCGTCGATTCGACTCGTCGATTCGACTCGTCGATTTCCCGACCTGTGTCGATCGCCGAGCCGACTCGTCGCTTCGCTCCCTGGGCCCGCCCGCCGCCGCCGCCTCGCCCCGGGATAGGCTCCCCGGGCGGCCCGCGGCCGCCCCCGCCCGGCGGCGGCCCGCGGAGGCCGCCGCTCCGCGCCGCGCCCCTCTATGGCAGCGCGGCGGCGGCGGCGGCGGCGGCGGCGATATGGGCGCTGGCCGACGGCGCGCGACGACGACGACGACGACGACGACGACGACGACGACGACGACGACGACGACGACGACGACGACGACGACGACGACGACGACGACGACGACGACGACGACGACGACGACGACGACGACGACGACGACGACGACGACGACGACGACGACGACGACGACGACGGCGGCGGCGGCGGCGGCGGCGGCGGCGACGACGGCGGCGGCGGCGGCGGCGGCGGCGGCGGCGGCGGCGGCGGCGGCGGCGATATGGGCGCGCCGGCCGACGGCCTGCGCGCGACGAGCGCTCCCGGGGGGGGGGGGGCCTCGGGGCCCAGGGACCGGGGGCGGAAAAGAGGGGGGTGATGACCAGGGGGGGGGGGTTGGACGCCCGAAATGGGTACGGAAAGAATGGGTACAATGCTCAACAACAAATGCTGTCCCAAACCAACAGCGGCCGCTGTTGGGCAGGCGGCCTTCTGTCTCAAATGGACACGGAAAAGAGGGAGGTGATGACTAGAGGCCAAGACATCCGACTTCTCGATTTTTTCGAGACGCGGGCCCCCGACCTCCCGACCACTTCCCCGGGGCCGGTTCTTCGTCCCGAGTCGTTTTTTGACGGTCCCGAAGCCCGGCGAGGGCCCCGAGGGACCGAAAACGACGAAAATCTTCGTCTCGATTCATTTCGAGACGAAGATTCTCGCCGGGATCGGGTCGACTGGACGTAAGAGTGACCCTTCGGTGGCCTTTGGTGCGGGCACGGGTGGGTCCCCAGGTGGCCGAAAGCGAGGCGGCAGCAGGGGCCTGCGCGCGCCCAGGTCTGGTCCCCCCGCGGCCCCCAACAGAAAGCCGCGCACCAGAGGTCACTCGTGCCCAGGGTCGCTCCTGCGTGTAGCCGATCGGGGGCGGAGAAGAGGGCGGAGAGGACCAGGGGGGGGGGATCTTCACCACCCACCAAACCACCCCAACCCAACCCGAAGGCCTCGATTTGCCCTCCATTTCCAGTGGGGGGGGTGTCGGGGAACGTTGACAAAAACACATGGAACCCGTACCCCCCCAACCCGAAATTCGGGTCAAATTCGGGTCTTCGGGTTGGGTTGGGGTGGTCTGGTAGGTAGTCAGATATCATGGCGTGGGCCATGATATTTTCCCAGATGTCATGGCGCCTCCTCTTGTGGCATGGCGTCCCTGGCCCCCCCGCTGGGCCGCGCACGTGCCGCCGGTCATGATTTGCACCCCCCCCCTCTTGGGCCCTTGGCCGCTCCCGAAGGGATCCGAGGATCCGACTCTCCTCTCTCAATCCGGCGGGTGTTCCCGAGTGTCGGCCTCCAGGACCCGCTGTCGGGCCTGGGGGGGCCATTCAGGAGGGGCCCGGGACGAAGCACCGCCCCCGGGGAAGGGTCCGGGACCCCTGGTGCCGCGGACCGACAGGAGTCACATCGGCGGATGTCGGGGGAGGCCCCGTGAAGAGCCCCCCCTGGCGGTGCCGAGTCGGGCCCGCAAGGCCGAAGGGGTCGTGGCTTCAGCAGCCGACGCCGTGGAGAGACCTCCGACAGGAAGGCAGACAGGACCCTAGAATGCCAGAACACAAACAAAAACCGAGAGCCCTGAGCCCCCGGCTTTTCCTTTTCTGTCAACGGTCTCTTCTCTCTAGGGCTTCTTTCTGTCTTCGTTTTTTGTTTCAACAATGTTTTTATTTTTGTTGTCTTTCTGTGTTTTCTGCGTTTTTTTTTTTTTTTTTTTTTTTTTTTTTTTTTTTTTTTTTTTTTTTGTTTTTTTTTTTTTACTTTTTTTCTCTGAGCGGTTTTCGATTTTCCGGTTTTCCGTTTTCGGTTTTCCGTGAGCGGCGCTGACGGGCGGCCGCGGCGGCGACGGCGGCGGCGCGGAGGCCGCCTGCGCCGCAGCCGCCCGGGCCGCGCCCGCCGCCGCGCCCGGCCGCGCCGGCCCCGGCGTCGCCGCGCAGGCCGCCGCGAGCGATCTGCGGCCCAGGGCCAGCTCGGGCCGGACGAAAGGGGGGGGATAGGGAAGGGGGGGGCTGCGAAATTTGCTGCATGCAGCTGGCTTCGGCCCCAACCGAGGGGCCCATTCCTCGATGCATGGCCGCCCCCGGCGGCGGGAGGCGCCAGGAAAGTCAGCCACGTGAGCTGATTCTCAAGCCCCCCCTTTGCTATCCCCCCCTTTCGCCCAGCCCGACTGGCGTCGCCCG